TACTTTAGTCGTAAATTTTTTTTAACTATATTTTTAGTGGAAGGTACAAAGATTAAATTTTAGAATTTAATTGAAGATTTTTTTTTAAAAAATAATTCAATACTAAAAGAACACAATTTCAAAAATGTTTTTAGAATGTGTTCCATGCATGTAACGACTATTGACGTGAAATTTTTGACAAAACTTAAAAAGTAATATTGCTGTTTTAGTTTTTGTCTCAAACGATAATTGTCAGAATAAATTTGTTTGCATAGCTATAGACCTCGAAACTTCATCAAATTTTAATGTAAACCAGGAAACTCCTTATGATATGACATAGTCAAAAATTATCTTCCATTGGCATCATATGAGGTATTAAAATATTTTTCAAAACTCAGCAGCGACCTAGTTGAAATGTAAATCGGTGCAGTTCACTTAAAATGACATATAAAATTCCACAAACATCAAAACCACAGGATTTCAAATTTATTCAGTAGCTAATCCATGAGACTATCAAATACAATTGTTTTCTTCTATAAATTCCACTTAACGGTCGAGTTATGAATTTTTGAAGTCAAGGCGGAAGCTGGAAAAACAGCGACTCTACGAGTGCAGTTTACTTTATGCAACATATAAAATTCTACCCACATCGGATTGACATGATTCCAAATTCATTCAATAGCTAACTTATGAGGCTATCCATCACCATTGATTTTGTATAAAAATGATATGTAATGAAGGAACTATGAATTTTTAAAAACAAGGCAGAATCTAATATTTTTTTTTTATAGACAACAAAACTTTAAATCGCTAACCTTTTATTATTATTATTTTTATTTATTGCAAATGGTGATTTGTAAATTTATTCCTATGGAATAGATCTACTTTCAAACATAATTTATTCATAAAGAATGTTCATAGAATAGATCCACACACGACATCCATAGGAATCTAATTTAAAGAAAACATAAACATTTCAAGTTATTAAATCACCGACTTTTCCATTGCATGTTGCATCTTCCTTTATCATCATCAACACTCCAAGGAAAATCTATTTAACTTGTAGGAAGGGAATCAACCCATGAGTTTAAAACTTAATAGATATCATCGGTGCATTTCGTTGTCAAATTAGAAATTTCGACCTATAGATTCATACCATTGCCCGTGGATGGATTTTCGATAAAATCCAATTACTCTAGCGTTATCATAATACGTAGAGTCAGAGAATGATCATTCAAACTATTTTAGTGTCGAAGCATCGTACCCGGAGCTACCATTTCATTCAAACATTTATCAAAAATCATAATTTGAAACGAAGTAAACACACGCACCTCTATCTACCTTGAATTTTCTTGGATATCAAAGAACAAAATGTGTAGAAATCATTTCTTCTTCTCATCCTTGTTATTCCCTTAGCTTAAATTGACATGAAATATATTTTCTTTTTTGAGAGAAATGGGATGAAATTCGGATTTGAAGAGGGGTGTAGTGAAAAAGTGACGTTCCACTTCTTATAACGTTTCTTTTTAGTGAAAAACTAAGTGGGGGAGTTTTATTATCATTAAATTTATTAAATTTGGTCTTTAACTAAGAATTTGAAGAGTATCTAAGCCATAAAAAAATAATTCATATAAAAGTTTTATAAAATCGTCTACATGGTAATTTGAACCTGGGTTGCCTATATGAAATTCCATGTAGATGACTATTGTGGCAACCCAATTATTGATTAAATCTTTGTAATCAACTTTACTTAAACTTAATCTCTTAAATTATTGAGCTTTTAATTAACTTATGGCTTGGACTTTCAAAATCTTAAATGGGTTGAGCTTCCCTAGCTCATTTATTGAATGAGCTAGGCTTGTGGTACTAGATCATCATAATATAATAGTCTAGTTTCATTTTATTTATTGGGCTTCTACATCCCTTACACCTTAAACAAAATTTCGTCTTCGAAATTTACCTTATGGATTGGCAAAGAGTGTCAGATATTTATCTTTGACTTCTTCTTTTCTTTCCCAAGTAAATTCTTCTACTCATGATTATTCCATTGCACTTTAACCTGTTGAATCTTCTTGTTCCGTAATTTATGTACCTTTTGATCTAGTATTTTAATCGATACTTTCTCATAAGATAAATCTTTCTATATTTCCAGGGGTTGATAATTCACCACGTGATTAGGATCATGCACATACTTCCTGATCATTGATATATGAAACACGTTACGGTAAAGACAGTGGATAAGCCACATTCCTGACCCTGTCAATTATTGCAAAAGCTCCGATATAACGAGGTTGTAGTTTGCCTTTCTTGCCGAACCTAAGTACACCTTTTATTGGTGCCACCTTTAGAAAAAACTTTCTCTTCAACCTCAAATTTCAAGTCTTTTCTTCTGGTTTTTGCATAGCTCTTTTGTCTATCTTGCGCGGTCTTTATCCTGGTACGGATCTTTTCAACGACTTCAACTGTTCTTTTAATGATCTCTGGTCCCAAAACTCTCTTTTCGCCAACTTCATCCCAATGAACAGGTGATCTGCACATTCGACCATAGAGAGCTTCATACGGTGCCTTCCAATAGTTGCTTGGAAACTATTATTATATGTAAATTCCACTAAAGGTAGATACGATTCCCAACTACCTCCTAGATCCAGAACACAGACCTTTAGCATATCTTCCAAAATTTGAATGGTCCTTTTAGATTGACCATCAGATTGGGGTGATATACCGTACTGAAATTCAATTTCGTTCCCATAGCTTCTTGTAAGCTTTTCCAAAACTTTGATGTAAATCTCGGATCCCCATCAGACACAATGGACATAAGGACACCATGCAATCTTACAATCTTTCTAATATACAACTACGCCAACTGATCTAGACTAAATGTCATTTTTACAAGAAGAAAATGAGCTGACTTTGTTAAACGATCCACTATTACCCATATAGCATTGTGTCCTCTTCCTAACTTTGGAAATCCTACCATAAAGTCCATTGTGATATTTTCCCACTTCCATTTAGGTAAGTCCAATGGATTTAATAACCCTGCTGGTCTTTGGTGTTCTGCTCTAACTTGTTGGCATATTGTGCATTTTGTCACAAATGAGCCTATACTTCCTTTCAAGTTCCTCCACCAAAATGTATCTCGAAGGTCTCGATACATTTTCGTACCACCAGGATATGCGGTGTACGGGGTGGAATGAGCCTCTTCTAATATCTCTTTTCTTAATACTTCATCTTTTGGTACACAAATTCTTCCTTTAAACAGCTTGATCAGAAGCTATTTCAAAATCCTTTCTCTTACCAATACCAATCTCGTTCTTGATCTTCTGCAAAAATGGGTCTTTACTTTGTGCTTCTACAATCCGATCTCTAAGAGTGGGTCGAACTATCAAAGTTGCTAAATGAGCAGTGACTTGTTTTGGTGTGGTAATCACTTCGATTCGCAAATTTTCCAAATCTTTGATCAACTCCATCGGAATAGTAGGTAATGATGCCAACTGTCCCATCGAATTTCTGCTTACAGCATCAGCAACAACATTAACCCTACCAGGATGGTAATGAATAGTGCAATCATAATCATTTACTAGCTCCAACCATCATCTCTGTCTCATATTCAATTCTTTCTGCGTAGAGAAATATTCGAGACTCTTATTATCCATGTAAATGTCACACTTCCCTCCATATAAGTAATGGCGCCAAATTTTTAATGTATAAACCACCGCTGCAAGTTCTAGATCATGCGTCGGGTAGTTCTGCTCATGTTACTACAATTGTCTTGATGTATAGGCAATTACTTTTCCTTGCTACATCAGTACACACCCCAAACCGTGTTTGGATGCATTACTATATATAACAAATCCTTCTGAACCTTCAGGTATTGTTAATACAGGTGCTGTAATCAATCGTTGTTTTAGCTCCTAAAAGCTTTGCTCACACTTATCTGTCCATTGAGATTTTACTCCTTTCCTTATCAATTGTGTCATTGGTCCAACTATTTTGAAAAATCTTTCTATAAATCTCTAATAATATCCAGCAAATCGCAGAAAACTTCGAACTTCACCAGCATTAGTCGGTGTCTTCCAATTGTTTACCGCTTCCACCTTTATTGGATCTACTTCAATTCCTTGGGCAATAACTACATGATCGAGGAATCCAACTCGTTCAAGTCAAACTTCGTACTTTTTAAATTTGGCGTATAACTTTTCCTTGCGTAATGTTTCTAACGCTATTCTAAGATGTTCTTCAGGTTGATCTTTACTCTTGGAGTAAATTAGAATGTCATCAATGAAGACTATAATAAATTTATCCAAATACTGATGAAATACTCTATTCATTAGATCCATAAGTACTGCCGGAGCATTTGTCAATCCGAATGGCATAACTATGAACTCGTAATGTCCATATCGAGTTCTGAAAGTTGTCTTAGGTATATCACTTTCCTTAACCTTTAAGCGATGATATCCAAATCGTAAATCGATCTTGGAAAATACCTTAGCCCCTTTCAATTGATCAAACAAATCCTCGATTCTCGGGAGAGGATACCTATTATTGATGGTCAAACGGTTCAACTCCCGATAGTCGATACACATCCGCATACTTCCATCTTTCTTCTTTACAAACAATACCGTGCGCCCCATGGTAATACACTTGGTCGAATAAAGCCAATGTCTAACAGTTCTTGTAACTGGATTTTCAACTCCTGAAGAGGGCCATCTGTATGGAGTTTTAGATATTGGTGCCACTCTGGGAACCAAATCTATTGTGAATTCCACTTGTCTATCTAGTGGAATACCACGTAGATCTTCTGGAAACACATCTATAAATTCTTGTACCACTGATACATCCTTAATCTTTATCGTTGCCAGTTTTTCTCCAGAGATATTAACTAGAAATCCTTGAAATGTTTCCTTTCTCAACATTTTTTTAGCTTGTAAGGCCGATACTAGTTAGAGGTGGGGTTTGATCTTTATTCCAGGGAAAGAAAATTGTTCCTCTCCTAGTTTCTGAAAAGATACTTTCCTTTCTCTTCAACGAATGGTTGCATAATTATATCCTAACCAATTCATGCCCAAAATCACATCAAGATCTTTCATCTCTATCATATACAAATTTGCTTCAAATGTTTTTCCCTCAATTTTAAGATTCACCAATCTAGCGAACTGATCTATGTTCAATGTTCTGCCTGAGGAAATGCTAACTTCTAATGTACTCTTTGACTTATCACAATTAATACTAGATTTAGCAATGAAAGATGTTGATATAAAAGAATGAGTAGCTCCTGAATCAAACAGTACATAAGCAGGTGTATCAGATATCAGTAATATACCTGCTATCACATTTGAGTTCTCCTCTGCATCTTTCTGATTCATTGTAAACACTCGTGCTTTTCCCTTCTTGTTCTGATCATTGTTATTAACCTTCTTCTGAGCAAATATGTACAATCGTTAGCAATATGTCCTGGCTTATCACACCGAAAATAGGTATTCTTCCCATACAAGCATTCCCCATGATGATGCTTACCACACTTAGGACATGGCGCTACTGCAGCTACTATGCCCTTGCTAGCACTAAGTCCAGTATTAGCCTTCTTATTTTGCCATTTGCCTTTTCCTTTGTCTTGACCATTCCATTTTCTCTTTCCAACCTGTCCTTTGTCTTACTGATTGTACAATTGATGGTGTTGCTCTGCATTTTCCTTCTGATACCAATAGCATGAGTTCGTTCCAGCAAATGATGTGATATAAGAATCATACTTAGGTTTGGGTTTAACCCTTGCTCAAATCTTCGAGTCTTCTTAATTTTGATGTCCACAGGGTGTGGAGCATACCTTGAGAGTTGGTTAAATTTTCGCTCATAATCAGTCGGGGACATATTACCGTGTTTGAGTTGAAAGAATTCATTCTCCTTGAAATCCTTTAGAGACTGAGGAAAATATGTATCCATCACTTCCTCCTTGAATTGTTTCCAAGTTAACGCCAATTGCTACTCCGGGGTCCTAGTTTGGGACATTGAATCCCACCAATGACTTGCATCACCGGTAAATATAAACTCCGGAGACTGGACCTTTTGGGTGTCAGTGCAATTGATAAGTCTAAAAATTCGCTCTAACTTACGAAGCTAGTCTTCAACTACTAGTGGACCAGATGCTCCATCGAAGGAAGGGGGCTTATGCCTTCGAAATAACTCAACCACCGAGGCATGAGTCAAGAGAGTAATACGAGCTGGTGGTGTAGGTGGAGCTGGATTTTGATTCAACCTGCCAAGATCTTGAACCGCTTGTAGGAGATCCTTATCAAATTGTTTTGGTTTGCTCGAGACATTTCCCTAGAGATAAGATATAATATCTCACATTAACTTCATTTTCCAACACCAAAATAAAAAAAAAATCTCAACTTGATCAAATTTTTTTTTGATTCAGTACTTCTTGAATCCAGGATATATAATAGTTCGATAACTTTTTACTTTCAATAACATAAAGGAAAAGATATCACAAGGAAATAGAATCTAAATTTCTAATCCCTATGAATCTTGCGAGTCTTCTTTAGCGGAGCTTCATCTTTAGAAGAGTCTTCTGCCTCAGTTCCTAACTCTAGGTCCATCTCAACCTATGGTTTAGGTTCATGCTCATGATCATTCTCTAATTCCAAACCAAAGTCAGCATCGTGCTCCCATTTGGGATCTTTCTCTAGGTCTGATTCAAATTGAGGCACGGGTTCGGGCTTGGGCTCAACCTCATCATTGGGCTCAATTACTATCTCCAGTTGATGTTCTAAGCTCTCATTCCACCTGTCTAGAAGGACCTGGCAATATATACCAAATTCAATCGTATTTGGATGCTCTAGAGGGTAACCTTCTAGCATCTCATTCCTAGCCATGACTCCCATGTTTTCCAATTGAGGTGGAGTGAACGTATGAGGTTATTCACAACCTCGATATGTGTGATCTTTAGTCCTGCATCTACAGTTGCCATACATCTCTTGTAGATATCATGTACGTGTTCAATAAGTGGACGAGATGGGTCAGTTACGTGATTCTCATAGGACAGAATGATGGACCTATGATTTAATGCTACTCTATAAGCTGTGGCCTTTCTAGTAGTCTGAGAAGTCCTAACCATGTCTGTCACATAAGTTTTCAATGATGTTTTATCTTTCTTAGTGACATCAACTTACACATTATACTCTTGAAGTTTTAATATAATGAGCAATTATCATTTCTTCATGTATATTTAAACAAAATATAACTTACATAACTATTTCATTCTAAACATCAAAAGTATTTTCATAGATTCAAGCTTAAATGATTTATAAATCATGCTCGAAAAATAAAGTGGAACATAATATTTATTCCATACCTTTGGTTCGTCAGATGAGGTCAACTGATGGATGCAAGATGCCATGGAGTGCCTTAAATGTTTCATTTTTCTCATTTCATAACTAAAATACACTAAGTCTACAGAAATCGATTAAACTCATGCTCTGATACCACGCTGTATCGTCACGACTTGCATGGATTGAAACGTCATAAGATTAACTGTACTTTAGTCGTAAAATTTTTTTAACTATATTTTTAGTGGAAGGTATAAATATTAAATTTTAGAATTTAATTGAAGAACTTTTTTTAAACAATAATTCAATACTAAAAGAAATAAATTTCAAAAATGCTTTTAGAATGGGTTTCATGCATATAACGACTATTGACGTGAAATTTTTGACAAAACTTAAAAAGTAATGTTGCTGTTTTAGTTTTTGTCTTAAATGGTAATTGTCAAAATAAATCCTATTGGTTTCATCTAGAAATTCCAAGTAACGGTCGAGTTATCAATTTTTGAAGTCAAGGTAGAAGCTGGAAAAATGGTGACTCTACGAGTGCAGTTTGCTTTATGCAACATATAAAATTCTACTAACATCGGATTGACATTATTCCAAATTCATTCAGTAGCTAACTTATGAGGCTGTCCATCGCTACTGATTTTGTATAAAAATTCCAAGTAATGAAGGAGTTATGAATTTTTAAAGACGAGGTAGAATGTGAATTTTTTTTAGAGACAGCAAAACTTTAAATCGCTGACCTTTTTTTTTTTTTTTTTGTAAATGCTAATTTGTAAATTTATTCCTATGGCACATATCTACTTTCAAACAAAATTTATTCATAAAGAATGTTCGTAGAATAGATCTACACTCGACATCCATAGGAATCTAAATTAAAGAAAACGGAAACATTTCAAGATATTAAATCACCGGCTTCTCTATGGCATGTTACATCATCCTTTATCATCATCCACGCCCTAAGGAAAATCCATTCAACCTGTAGGAAGGGAATTTACCCATAAATTTGAAACTCAATAGATATCATCGGTTCATTTCTTTGTCAAATTAGAAAATTCGAACAATAGATTCATACCATTGTATGTAGATGGATTTCCGATAAAATCCAACTACTATAGCATTATCATAATATGTAGAGCCAGAGAATGATCATTCAAACTGTTGTAGTGCCGAAGCACTGTACTCAGAGGTACCATTTCATTCCAACATTTATCGAAAATCATAATTTGAAACAAAGTAAATATATGCACCTCTACCTATCTTGACTTTTCTTGGATATCAAAGAACAAAATGTGTAGAAAGCATTTCTTTTTCTCACCCTTGTTATTCCCTTAGCTTAAATTGACATGAAATATATTGTTTATGTGAGAAAATGAGATGAAATTCGAATTTGAAGAGGAGTGTAATGAAAAAGTGACCTTCCACTTTTTGTAACCTTTCTTTTTAATGAAAAACTAAGTGGGGGAGTTGTATTATCTTTAAATTTATTAAATTTGATCTTCAACTAAGAATTTGAAGAGTTTTTAAGCCATAAAAAATAATTCATATAAAAGTTTTATAAAAACATCTACATGGTGATTCGAACCTGGGTTGCCTACATGAAATTCCATGTAGATGACTATTGTGACAGTCCAGTTATTTATTAAATATTTGTAATCAAATTTACTTAAACTTAATCTTTTAAATTGTTGGGCTTTTAATTAACTTATGGCTTAGGCTTTCAAAATCTTAAATGGGTTGAGCTTCCATAGCTCGTTTCTTAAATGAGTTAGGCTTGTGATGCTAGATTATCATAACATAATAGCCTAATTTTATTTTATTTCTCAGGCCTCTACAGACCCGATTTCATTTGCATGGAAATGAATTTTGGAGAGAGGAGTTGAAAATTCAGCACCAATAACTCCCATGCAATTTCCATAATTCATTATTCTGAAAAGAAAACAAAGAAATTCGGGTTAAGGGGAGTAGAAGGTCTATACATTAGGAAAAAGACTTGATTTTGGAAATATTGCATCTCAAAATTGGTTCTTGGATTGTGACTGTCAAATTCATTCTTTGTGATTGAGTTTCTAACTAGAAAAGGAGTACTTGGTGAGCAAACAAGTGGCAAGAAGGGAAGTAATTCAACCTCTTGTTTTCTTGGGATTTCAAGTAAGTTTCAATATTCCAAACTCGTTTATAAGTATGCAAGCACGTTTTACATTGGTATCAGAGCCTAAGTATGTTGTTTTCTTGCTTAAACACATGTTGTAAATGTTTTAGAATGATTGAAATGCATGAATTCTTCTTTGAAAGCTTGAATGTCGTTAATTGCAAATTTTGATATACTTCATATAAATTCATGAAATTTATACTATATGTTCATGATATTATTGAAAACATATCTGGAAAATTTCACTTCGTTTAGATTCGTATTTTGGGAGAAAAATCGAACTCTAGTTGAAAAAACCAAACTTCATTGCATGATAATTTCTTGCACGTTAAGTTCCAGCTACCCATTCTATATGTTTGGATAGATCTTCTTGAAACCTTTCCAACGGTATAAAGAACATAATTTTTGGTCATGAATTGAAGAAGTTATGGCCTTCCGAAATTTTGATAGAAATTTGAAAAATCTGCATATTTTGGGAAGATGATGAACAGTACTCGAAAAAAAAAACTGACATAGAAATGTTGTTGTATTGGTATTAAAAAATTGCAAGTGAAATTTGAAAAATTGCATGCTTGTCCCCGCACTTTTGAATGTTGAATATTCCAATTGTAATTTGGAAAATTGCATGTTAGTCTCCACACTTTTGAATGTTAAATATTTCAAATGCAATTTGAAAAATTGCATGTTAGTTTTAACACTTTTTGAATAGCAGTTTATTCCAAAACCAATTTGAAAAGTTATATGTTGGTCCCAAAATGATTTTTTTTTGAAATTGATTATTCCAAATTTAATTTAAAAGACTGCAAATTGTCCCTAAAATATTATTGATTTTTTATGTAATTAAAATAATTTTCAGATAATAAAAAATATTTTTATATATACTTTTTGAACTTGATTAAATTATGAATTTTTTTTAATAAAAATCAAGAATATTTTTGTTAAGTGTTGTTAAGTGGTATTTGCCTAGTGGGAGTTTTTTTTTTTTTTTTTTTGTTGTGCTCTCATTTTTTTAAATGAAAAACCCCGATATAATTTGATATACCACATTTTCTATACATTCATGAGTGATGGATCTTGATTAGGTTATGCGATCCATTGTGACTAGTTTTTCAATTATTGTGATTGATCAAATATGACTGGCTTAACATGCGTTTTTAGCATCCTTAGAGGGAAGCTAGTAGAGCACGGGCTGTGGAACGTGTTGAAAAATTACGTGCTTATTGAAACTATGAAATGGATTTGCAACATAACCTAGTACAACACATAAAATATCTCGAAGCAATACGTCGAGAAGTGATACATTTGGGATAGCATATATGTGAGAAGGAAAGTATGTATTATCTAATGACGACACTTCCTAAATATTGATATGATGTTGCTATTGAAGTTGTGGATAACCTCTATGCTACAGTTATTTGATCAAGATCTTGAAGAGAAAATGAAATTAAGAAAATGAGAACTTT